CAGGCTGATGCTCTATCCACTAAGCCAAAGCAGCTAGGGCTGGAAGGCCATTTTAAGAGGAGTGGAAATTAAGCCAAACATTGACAGTTGGGTACCATTAGAATGGCCAGGATGCAGTGGGGATGGCATTTATGTATGGAGTCACTTCAGCCGTTGTGTAGAGGTGGGTGGGAGAAAGCGTGGTGGTTTCAGGGAACAATAAGGAGACTTCACTGAGAGAGGAATTGGGTTGCTGAGATCAATGGGGACTTTAAGGTGAAGTCAAGCAGGGAGGGACTTAAGTAGCAGATTTCTACCCAGTGGACGAATGTGAAGGAAGCCATGCTTCAAAAGATTAATCTGGTATAGGGGGAGGGGTCGCCAAAGCCAAGTGAGCAGGTGGTGGTTGAAAGCCATGAACCACAGAATGAGAAGCCAGCCACGCTTTTTACATTGGCTATCCTGTGAAAAATCCCCAAGACAGGCCACTGGCCTATTTTTATGTTTTTAGACCGAATTCATTCCATTTCTGTATTAATTTCTCCCTATGTAATTTCTTGTCAACTGCCATCTTGGGAATACATAAACACGCGAAGTTATGTTTATGCCATTATGTGTGTCACATAATTGAGCATTTAATAGTATATGTTACTGTCAGTTTTACACATTTAAGTCTCACTGAAGGGATTAATTATCAACATGTATGATTATATTTTTGTCATGTGCCTGTCATCCCTGAGGATGACCTATGACAGTAAAAATATCACACATTTTCTACTTAAAGGTTGCAAAATGTTAAGAAGTCTTTCTTTACTTTCAATTCTGCTGCTTGGTTATCTTGATAAAGAACTGACTTTTGATGTGAATGCCTGTTTTAAACTAAGTGTGTTATAGTATTCTATTATTTTGTGACGTGCTATATTAAGATAAGTAACATGATTTACTTACGGGCTTTTACCTCAGCGTTTTATGTTTCTATTTACTACGGAGTGTTTTCAGCTCTCCATAGTCAAAAACAATCTGACACCCAACAAGTTGGTCTATTGTGAAAACTGTCATGATACTCAGTCTCATGTTCCTTCACTGTATTTTTTTTTATCAGATTGTGATATATTCAGAGGAGAAAATTTCCTTCTAAAAATATAAGTACAGAAAATGTTTTATGTATCACTTTTTAAAGGTTACAGTCTTCTTCATCCTTGGGTGATTCAAGTCCAACAGATTTAATGAAAGATACTCACACTATAAACTGCAGGAATGTAAGTACAAACATAAGTGACAATATTCATGAAATAAATGAACAATAAAATTTGCTCCTTGTGGATGATTTCTCCTGAGAAAGGAAGCCATCTTAAACAATAAATGAACCCTTTTCTAGCTAGTCCGTGGTTTAATAGGCCACGTAGAATAGTGGTTCAGAGTGAAGTTGCTGGAACCATATGATCTGGGTCCAAAGTTGTGACTCAGACACTTACTGCTGCTTAACCCCAGGTCGGTTTTTTAAACTCTGTGCCTTGATTTCCTCTTTTGTAAAACTGGAATAATAATGGCACCAATTTCTTGGGATGGTGTATGAATCAAGTGATTAAGTATGAAAACAAGCAAAAGCTTAACAGTGTCTGATAGACAGCATGTGCTCAGTAAAGGGTAGCTGTTATTACTGCTGTTATTCCAATTCAGCGGATTAAGTGGGCACCTTTTGGTCTGTAACAAAGCTTAATATAAGCTACAAGATAAGAATAATACATTAATTCAATTCAATAAATACTAGCTATTTGAAGTGCATTGCTGCATATACAAAAGTGACTAAACGTAGTGCTAATATCTGGAAAACTCACATAGAGCGTAATTCTAATGTAGCTCCAACAACAGAAGGCCCTAAAGGAGGTCTATAAACGAAATGGTATAGGAATATATAGAAAAATTAAATCTG